CATCATGGCTACAGTATTTAAACTTTTTCTTCCCATCAAAATATAGACTGATTTGATGGCAAATATATTTTTCTAATTTAAATTTTGAGTAAATTATATGAATTGAGCTAGCTTCATGTCTTAAACACAATGAATTCATCTATCATTTAAGAAAGGAAAATATCCTATTAGTGAATTCCTTATCTTTATAGGAAGTAATACTTTGGATTAACAGAATAGGTGTTAAAGGTCTATAGCCATGCTAAAGGTTCACACTGACTTTGACAAATTATTTCCTCATCTTCAGATCATCATGCATGTATTTTGCACCTACCTTGATTCCAGATTGCCTCCACATCCTAAGTACCCCGATGGAAAAACATTTACTTCTCAGCACTTTGTTCAGACCCCAAATAAACCAGGTATAAACCTCTCCTAAAAGAATGTGTTAAGATTTTCACATGAAATATCTCTGGTGGTTTGGTTTTTTAATGTAGCATATTTCCATTGCAGATATTACAAATGAGAATGTTTTTTGCATTTATCAGAGTGCTATCAACCCTCCCCATTATGAGCTGATATACCAGCGTCATGTCTACAATCTTCCCAAGGTATTGTTATATGTAAAAGTTGATACTTGAAAATGTCATAGATGATTTGCTTCAATAATGTTTTTAAAACTAGAATTTCTTATTTATAGTACAGGTAGTAAATTTTAAGTTAGGAAAAGTATGTTTCTTTTATATTCTTTTTTTACTGTAAAAGTAATATGCTCCTAATTTGGAAAAATATAAAGAAAAATCACTCATTATTCCAGGATAGCCATTGTTAACATTTTGGTGTATTGCCTTTTGGTAAACTTCCTTTTGGTCGTTCTTTGTATTTTTTTAGGAGGTAAAATTATATTATTTATGGAGCTTTATATGTTGCTTTTAAAAATTAACTTTGTAACATTATTTTTCATATTATTAAAAATGTGTAAGTAAAGCAGGAAGATCGCTTGAGCTCAGAAGTCCAAGACCAGCCTGAATAATGCACACTGAAAAATGCAATCAGTGTGACCTACTTTTTTGTACCCTCAATGAATCCCCCCTCCCCCAAAAAAGACCAGCCTGACCAAGAGCGAGATCCCATTTCTACTAAAAATAGAAAAATTAGCGAGGTGTTGTGGCAGGAGCCTGTAATCGTAGCTGCTCAGGAAGCTGATGTAGGAGGATTGCTTGAGTCCAGGAGTTTGAGATTTCTGTGAGCTAGGCTGACTCCATGGCACTCTGGGAGGCCAAGTTGGGTAGGTTACCTAAGCTCAAAACCAGCCTGAGCAAGAGTGAGACCCCATCTCTATTAAAAATAGAAAAACCAGCCAGGTGTTTTGGCAGTTGCCTATAGTCTCAGCTACTCCGGAGGCCGAAGCAAGAGGATCTTTTGAGCCTAAGAGTTTGAGGTTGCTGTGAGCTATAAGGCCTTGGCAGTCTACCCAGGGTCACTAAGACTCTATCTCAAAAAAAAAAAAAAAAAAATGCATACATATATATGTGCACATACATGCATATATATAAAAAACATAGCTGGGCACAGTATAGAACCCTATAATTCTAGCTACTTGAAAGGCTGAGGCAGAAGGATGGCTTGATGAGACCGGGGATTTCAAGGCTGCAGTGAACCAGGATTGTACCACTGCACTCCATCCAACCTGGGCAACAAAGTGAGACCCTATCTCTCGAAAAAAAGAGAGATCATTACATAATTTTCAACTCTTCTTCTAGTAGTAGACTTTTTGTTGGAGGCAGTCTCAAGCTGTCATACTGGGTAGAGTGTGGCGGTGTCGTAGCTCACAGCAACCTTTGACTTAGGCTGAAGCTGATCCTCTTGCCTTGGTTTTTCTATTTTTAGTAGAGACAGGGTCTTTTTTTTTTTTTT